GCCTAATTTGGGAATAAGCATTGCATGTCCGTTTGTTTTGGAAAAATGTTTTGGAATTTCTACTCGCAAGTAGGCTAAAACACGGATTTCAATGAGCTATTCCAACTCAGACAATCCAACCTTCACCCACAGGCATTCAAGCAGTTATATCACATAAGCAGCTAGCCTCATGGCAATCATGCTATCATGGCAACACTCACCTTTTCAAGGACAACAAGGAGAGGGGGTGGCCCTCTCCTTCTTGGGACTTCAAGGCACCATCATTACCACTGAAATCCCTCAAGATTTCAGTGGTGAGGAGGCCCAAACACCAAAGTCCCGGAGCTCACTCAAAATGACACAAAATGGGGCCTCTCAAGGCCTAAGAGGGGTCAAACACCTCCAAACCATAAAACACTCTAAACAAACTATTTAGAGGGCCCAAAAATAGAACTTTTTTATATTATACACTAAGCTAAAAAATAGTTCTAAGATAGGCAAAAATACAATGTAAAAATAGGGAATAAAAGGGCAATATTGTTACCCTTGAAGACCCTCTTCACAAGTGAAGCTCCAACAACTTCTTTGAGCTCAAAACAGCTCCAAAGCTTCAAGAAAAAACCTCTGGCCCTTCAAGAACCAAGAAAAGGTGTAACACTATGTGTTTGTGTGTAATAGTAAGAAACAAACCCACTTATACACACACAAAGGCCAAATGAGAGAGAGGTATAGAGATAGAATATGTATGGAACCCTAAACTTAAAACCAGAGCTCTCACACAACTTTTCTCTCTAAAATGTCTAATCCTAAGGCCAAGAGAGGAGGGCTTCTCTTATAGAGGAACCAATCTTGTAAAGCTTAACAAGGAAGCCATCCCTCCATACACGTGTATGGAGGGGAACAAAATACCATACAGCTGTATTAAAATATCTTCAAAAGAAGATGAACAGTAGTCGGCTGCTCAAAATTGCCATCTTGACAAAATGAATTGCCGACCGGCAACAAAGAATGCCGACCGGCAATATACATTGCCGATGGCAACAAAACACCAGCCGATGGCCTCTGGCCATGGCCGGTGATGTGTGGGGATGCCTCACAAGGCATTCCCTGCCCCTTCAAGGCAAAACACAAGTGTTTGGTGCAAAACCAGACACTAAACAGTCGAGTCGAGAGATCCTGAGGCAAGGCGCGCAAGCCTAGACCTCCGGGAACTCAAGACGAACACAAACATGGATGATCACCGAGTGTTCAAACAGTGACGTCCAAGTCTTGAGGACGGTCAAAAATGGGGTGTCTACACCTGCAGGAAAACCCTACAAAATACAACGCATCTCATCCGTACCCTACAAAGGATAGCACATCCTATCTGTTCGTACATACTGAGGGTTGCAAAGTGTGAATTAAGATTCTCTCCCTCATCTCTCTCCTTAACTTCTTATTTGTTAGATCATTAAATCTACTTTTAAGCTTAATTTCGATAATTCGACTCGTTCACATTTTAATATTTATTAAGTATATCATACTTGCAAAAAATCAAGTTGATCGAATATCAAAAAATATGTATTCGAAAAACTGTTTATTAAATTTTTTTTAAAAAATAGTTTATAGTTTGATGATTCGAATATGTAGTTTTTGATATCCAATCAATTTGATTTTTTACAGGTATGATATACTAAACAAATTTTAAAATATGAATGTTTCGGATCATTAAAATTGGGTCAAAAAATGAGCCCAATGACCTAATAAAAAGAGAGTTAAGGTGGGTGTTTGGAAAGTGAATTTTTTTGTAAGTTTTTTTAGTTGTAGAATATTATTGGAGAATTTTTTTTTTGTGTTTAAGCAGATAGTTAGATTTTTTTATGGTTGAATATAGTGTTTGTGAGAGAAAGATAGTTAGATTTTTTTATGGTTAAATATCGTGTTTGTGAGAGAAAAAGTGAAATAATTATAAAATTTAATGTGATATTTTATTTAAATTTTTTTTTATTAATTTTATAACTAATTTATCTTTTAACGAAAAAAACAAAAAAAAATCACAAAAAAATCCTTCCCCAACACGGCCAAGGACAGACATCAAATAATTTGATTCGCAAAGCTTCGCCTTGGCCTCATCCATGACCACATCAGGGGTAACCGGCATTAATTGACAAGCCAAAACTTTTTTCGTGGGATAGTTTTAGTTTAGGATTAAAAAATTTGTTTAATAAATTTTTTTAATTTTTATAAAAATAAAATAAAAAATTATGATTTAAATATAATATTTTATTTTATTAATTTTTTCAGATATTTTTTTTAATAACTAATCTAATCACAATCCAACTCATATAGACAAACGTTGACTAGTTAAGATTTCGTTTGAGAATAAGTTATTTTAATATTTTTTTTTAATTTTTTATAAAAAAATATATCGAAAAATAAAAAGAGCAATGTGATAATTTATAAAAACTTTTTAACTAAAGTAAAAGTTTCTAAACCAAGCCTAAGTTTAAATTAGGCCAAGTTTATCATGTGGCCAAAAAGTTAAAAAGTCAAAAAAATTACTCAAAAAGTTAAAAAGTTGTCACTATTCACCAAAAGTCAAAAATTAGGACTGCACAACTCTTAATCTTAATTTTTCCTTACACGCTAATTTATACAATTTTTTAATACACATTTTTTCATAAAAAGTTAAAAAGTTAATCCAAACAATTATATTTTTTTTCTCAACTTTTTAATCTAAAAAATTAAAAAATACACTTATTTAAGACATCTGAAACAACTCCTAAATGAAATTGTCTTTCAACCAAGAGGGTATTCCATTTCGAACTATTTCGCGTTACAATCACCTTAATGTTTAGACACTTTTGGCTTGCTTTGGAAATCTAGTTAAAAGATAGTTTTTTAACTTTTTAGTTTTTTTTGTCATATTATTTTTTTTATTTTTTTTACACATTTTAAAAAAAGGTTAAAAAAAGTCAAAAAAAATCATTTTTTAACCTACTTTTTAAAACAATAATGTTTATATATACAGATTAATAAGGTTAACTATTGGTGCTCTTTTAGATTTGGCGAAATTTTATTTTAATTATTGTACTTTAATTTCAATTTTAATTTTATATTTTCAATTTTGTTTGTTTTCATGTGATTCTTCATTTTTAGATGAAAAATAATATGTCAAAATTAGAGAGAATAAAATGTAATTAAAAAAAATTATAAAGATTATCAATGTTGATTATTTATTTTTTATTTTTCTTTTGTGTGTGATAATTATTCTCGCATGGTTTTTTTATTCTAAATAAATACTAGTTATAATTGTTGGAGGGTTATATTGAAACGTAATTAAAAGTATACAATTTAAATTTATAAGATTGAAATTATGGGATTTCGTACAAATTAGACAAAATAAAAGTTAATAAGTTTTATAAATTTATTTTATTTACCAACGAAAAATAATTCTTTTTATAAATTTTAAAATTTCATTATTTTACATACATAATATTTTTTATTTTTTAATCAAAATATTAGAGCAATTCAATGAAGGTGCTATAGTGGCAATTATATTCAAATTACAGCAACTTCACTAAAAACAATCCAATGGCATATGCTAAAATGATTGTTAAAAATTAACATTCTAAAATTTTGTGTCAAATTTAATACAAGATTTCATAAAATGTCAAAATTTTAGTTGGAGCTCATCATTTATCATTTCATAATAGGACTTGCAAATAACATTTTAATTTGACTTTCTTGTGAAGGAAGTAGACAATTAGATAATACACTATTGGAACAGCATTGTTAAAACAAAAATGACATGGAGGCCGAGCAGTAAGCCGAACCCACTTTTGTGGGCACAACCCATATCCATAGTGCAATGCATGGGTCCACACGATTTCCTTTCAATGAATTGAATTGTCATTCTCCATTTTTGTTTTATTCAATGAATTGTCATTGCCAACAACTCTGTCTGTTTCGATTGAAGTTGACATGAATAGCAGTACCTTGCTCAAATTAGATTTTAGCTATCAATTATAATATTTTGAATGTTGAGACTCTCTTTAAATGGAAAATTTTTCCTAGCTTGAAATATTTGGCTCGAAAATGGCTCAAATATTTAAAAGACATCATTTTGAGACATTCAAGTCATTCGGATAATGAAAATTCCAAATACCAAACATTGTTGTAATGAATATATCACTTTACCTATTTTATTTATGAATTTGTACATATTAATCTTTCAAGTATAAAAATATATACAAATACATTTCTTTTACAGGTGATTTAGGAGTGAAGATTTTTTTTTTTTTTTTTTTTTTTTTTTTCTTTCTAGTTGATCTGGATCTGGATTTGAAAGGAAAAAAAAATCGTTGATGATAATGATAATGTTGATGATGATGATGTGTTGATGAAGATGTTGTTATTGATTTTAGACTCTGTTTTCTTTATTTATTTATTTATTTTTTTTCTCTAGTTGATCTGGATCTCAAGATGAAGGAAAAAAAAAATATTTGTTGATGATGATGATGTTGATGAAAATGTTGTTGTTGATGATGATTTTGATCTCTTTTTCTTCTACTTTGGGTTTGGGGGGCTGTGTTGTGGGGCTGTGTGGAAGAAGGAAAAGGAATAAAAAATAATAATTTTGAGCCATTCGAGCATAGGCTTTTGAGCTACGTAGCGGGATCGTTACATTCTTAAAATTTGTTTTAATCTTTATATATGTATTTGAATTTCATTTAAAATTTTTCTTTATAATATTAGAATTTGATGTAAATTCATTTATAATTAAAAATAAAATAAAAATCAACTTTGCTTCTGGCAGGTTCAGAACTACTCATGCATTATTCATTTTTTTATTTTCTTATTTTTTGAGGCGAAAGTACTATCGATTCTTACACAAGGCCAAACCGGTGCACTCACACCACCCATCCTCTCTCCAGTACGATGGTATTCCGTATCAAAGCTCCAATCCACATATTATTAACTATTTTAACATATTTTACTTTTTTATAGATTTTAGTAAAAAAAAAAATGCCAAATTTGACTTCTCGAACACCTTCTAGATACAACAACAACAAAGAAATCATTTTTCCCAGAAGGAAGCAGAAAACAATAGCTACTCTGTTCTACCAAAGAATGAAACAATAGCAATCTGATCTAAGTCCCGTTTAATTGTCTCCAGTCTACACTACAGTCTACACTACACGCGTGGGTTCATCACAAATTTTATAATTTGATAACTTTTATTCGTGAAAAAATAAATTGAATAAGTTCCGTTGTGAAGCTGTGAATTACGAATTTCAATCCATCAAATTTTGCAGAGTCGTAAGCGCTATGGAAACTCCATCATCAGCAAATCTCGAAGCTCACTGTCTTCCATTATGCCTGCCCAGAACTCATTTGCTTCATTACTTGCCGCTACTGTCTCACCACAAGTTCCCTCGACTTTGCTCTTCATCTTCGCCTTGTCTCTCGCATTTGACCGCTCGAGCGCTCTATCCAATTCGTATTGGTAGTCAGACAATGCAAAATTGGTCTTAGCTTTGGCTCCTCGGAACTCCACGGCAGCTTTATCGTAGGCCCTGGCGGCCTCCTTCGCGGTGTGGAAGGTGCCCAGCCACACCCTTGCAGCCCGCCACGGGTCTCGAATCTCCGCTGCCCACTTCCCCCACGGCCTCTGCCTCACTCCCCTGTACAGCTTTTTCTCCCTCCTCTTCTTCTTCTTCTCCCCTTCAGCACCAGCGACGACATCAGTGGTGTCAGTAGTGCCACTAGTGCTAGTGGTTAGTGTGAAAAATTCACATCCCAAACAGCCGTTGATTTTGCATACCGGACACGTGTCGGCTTCTGGAAGCGATATCACGGTTTGCTCCGCTTTGGTCCCACTGGAGGAAGCCAATGAGGATGACGTGGAAGGTCGGATGGGTTCCAAATTGGCGCCGGAGATGACGTGCTTGATAGCCGAGACCATGATGAAGAACTCCTGGTCCTGGGTCAAATACAGAGGTGGGAAGGGGTTGTCTGCTTGAATCTCCTCTGTTTGTAGGTCTTGGAATAATTTCTGAATTTGATCGGGGTCCATTTGGCAAGGAGTGAGAGTAGTAGATATTTTGAGAACTGAGGTGGGGGAGCGGCCTCAGGCAAGTGGTTTATACATCAGGTTATATTGGTAGGATTGCGTGGCATCCGGGCTGTACGCTGTTTACACACGATTGCGGGGGAAAGCACTGATTATTTGATTTTGATCCACTTCATTCATCACCACATTTGTCAAATTATCTTTTAAGATAAATTATAACATCTCCCCCCTAAACTTTAAAATTTTGATGTACCAAATTTTTTTTAAGGCTTAAGAAAAAAATTCACATATATCAATTTGATATAAAAACTTTCTATTTTTATGTCAAATTTATTATTTTATTTTTTTTTAAAATAAATTTTTTTTATTGAGTGAACTCAACATTTAACATAAACATAGAGCATGCCAAATTTCACTTGTCAAGCTCATGCCAAATACTAACTCAACATTTGACATATTGGGTGGGCTTCATTCTTTATGTCAAAATAGAGTTGTTAGACTGTCACATTGAATTTGGCATACTCTTTAAAATTTGGTGTGTCAAATTTTTTTGAAGGTTTAAGTGACAAATTAGCACATGTCAATTTGATATAGAAACTCTCCACTCGATATGTCAAATCTATTATTCTATTATTTTTAAAAATAAAATTATTTTATTGGATGGACTTAATATTTGACATAAATATGGAGCATGTCAAATTTGACATGTTAAGTTCATATTAAATGTCAACTCAACATTTGACATATCGGGTGGGATCATGGGTGGACGTTGTGTCGTATTGGGTCGTATTCATGTCGTGTCATATTAGCATATGTCAATTTGATATAGAAACTCTCCACTCGATATGTCAAATCTATTATTCTATTATTTTTAAAAATAAAATTATTTTATTGGATGGACTTAATATTTGACATAAATATGGAGCATGTCAAATTTGACATGTTAAGTTCATACTAAATGTCAACTCAACATTCGACATATCGGGTGGGGTCATGGGTGGACGTCGTGTCGTATTGGGTCGTATTCATGTCGTGTCATATCGGATTCGTATCAGAATTATCTCAACACTAATCGACCCGTTTATTATTTCGTGTTATCGTGTCATGTCATTTTCACTCCATGTCTGGTTCGTGTCGTATTAATGTGTCATGTCAAAAAAATTCACTATTAACTAAAAATATCAAATGTATGAAAAAAAAATTGAAAATTTCTTCACAAATTAAATTTAACAAAACTAATCTCTATTAAATAAAATTATTTATAAAAATATTTGATTTCAACTTAATTTTATTTTCTTAATTTATAAAAATTATATTTTTTATTAGATTAACTCAAATAATAGGCATAAAATATATTAAGTTCAATTAAAAGTAAAAACAAAATCTATATTAAACTTAAATCATATTTTACATACTTTTTAATAGAGTTTAAAAAAATGTCATGATACTCTTTAATTATACGGGTTATTTGTGTCAATTTCATGTTATATAAATTTGATGATAACTCGACATGTTTAATATTCGTGTTATCAGGTCGTGTCATATACGTGTTCGTGTTATAAAATGGTTAATCCTAACCCGCTAATTTCATATACGGTTCGAGTCGTATTATTGTGTCGTGTTGTAAATTCCCACCCTTAGGTGGAGTTGATACTTGATGTCAAAATATGACTATTAGGGGTTGTTTGGGATATCCTAAATAAGTACAATTTTTGTCTTTTTAGACTAAAAAATTGAGAAAAAAAATATGAATGTTTAGGTTAACTTTTTGATTTTTTATGAAAAAATGTGTATTAAAAAATTGTATAAATTAGTGTGTAGAGAAAAATTAAGATTGAGAGTTGTTCAGCCGTAATTTTGACTTTTGGTGAATAGTGATAACTTTTTGACTTTTTGACTTTTTTTTAACTTGCCAAACTTGGCCTTAGAGAGTTACATCATATTTGAAATATGGGACGAAGGTGCTCTAAATATACTATTTAACATTTGTTTAAAATGTAATTTGATCACTGTGGTTTTAAAATTACATCACGTCTCTTAAAGTTTTTAATTTTATAATAAGTGACTTTTTTTATAAATAAATCATCAAATCAATTAATAGTTTTTAATGATATCAGAAATTTATTTCAATTAATAATTTAGGATTTTATCATTACATAGGAGAACATTTACAAATTTAATTTTTTTATTTAATTTTGTTAAATAAAAAATTATAACAATAAAATATTTATAATTTTTTAAATTATAAAAATTATCTATATTTTAAACAAATCTTAAAGGAATGTATTTATAATTTACCCTATCAATAATAAGCTGAGACATCAAGTGAAATCAGTCAAGACCACACATAATTTTTCTGTGAGACAGTACTGATAAAGTGAAATAGCTCTTTTTTAAAGTAAAGATTTAATATAACGGTGATACTACGTCATCAATGACACATGGTATTAGCAATCAATAATATACCTATATAAGAAGAATAAATCTCATTTTTAGAATGTAATAACCTTTATGACGATCCCACCACCACGTATAGTATTTTATATTTAATTAATTCTTATTTTGCTTTAATTGTGAAATTCTCAATAAGGTGAAATTGACAAATTGAATTATTTTCGAGTATCGTACCATATGAGAGTTTAATTAAATATTCGATTCAGTTTAATAAATTTGAAATTTTATTAATTGGATCTAAATTGGAGTTGATTAAATTATAAAAAGAAAACAAACTAAATAAATAAATTAATTAATTAATAAATATAATTCCTTGTTATATCAAAAAAGTGTATAGTTTAGAAAGTTAAGAATTAAAATATTAAATTATTAAAAAAATAGATTGTAGGACACAACACTTTTAAAATATTAAATATTTTAGTGAATGATAATTAATATTTTATAGCTAGGTGATAAAGATTTTTAGATACCATACATAATTTTAAGAGTGATTGTGGATTTCCAAAAAAAAGGTAATAACTTTTGGAACGGCCACAAGGCCAAAGTCAAGGGCAATTCACTCACGGAATATTTGTGAGTCAAGGATAAGGACGGTGGATAGGAATGGCAATGGGGTAGGGCCGGAGATTACCCTCTTCGTCTTCGATTTTTGATGGCCAAAATTTTTCCGTTTCCGGTCCCGATCCTTGACGGGAAACCTATCACAGTCCTCATCCCCGTCCCCAACGGGGATCAGGTTTCCCCGACCTCGAAAATTTCCCGATCCAACTCTGTTTCAACATTCAACACCATCAACAGATAAAAAAAAACAACACGAGATCATTATCAACATCGATCATCAACATAGATCAACAAAAAAAAACAGCAGATCAAAAAAAAAATTACAGATCATCATCAACAGATCAAAAAAAAATTACAGATCATCACCAATAGATCAAAAAAAAAAATTACAGATCATCATCGACAGATTAAAAAATCAATAACAGATAAAAAAAGAATAACAGATCTTACAGATCTGAGCTGATGAGGGCGGCGGAGGAGGAGATCGACGGAGGAGGGCGGCGGTGGAGATCAACGTTGTGCTGCACTCTATAGCGGCTCTCTTCTCTATCTCTTTCTCTCCTCCACATTTTTCTCACGACACGAAGCTCTCTCTCATCGCCAAAAATGGCGATCAGAACACTGAGTGAGGGACTAAAATCGGTGAGATATAAGAGAGAGAGAGAGTAGAGGGAAGAGCGACGCGGCTGTGAGGGAGGAGCGAGGGCGGTGGTGAGAGAGAGAGAGTGAGCGAGCGACGCCGAGGGAGCATCAGAGAGCGAGAGGCGAGTGTTTTGTACGTGAACCTATAACCCCAAACTCAATCCAACGATGAGAAACACACATATATATAGAGAGGGGTACAAATGTAATTTCATTTCGGGGAGAACGGGGCCGGGGACGGGCCGAGTCCGGGGCTATGAAGGCTATCCCCGTCCTCGGCCAGAAAATGATCGGGGATTTATTTTTTAATACCATCCTCGACCCATTGGGAGTTTTTTTGGGGGAAAAACCGTCCCATTCGGGGTCGGGTCCCCGTCGGGCCGGTTTCAAATTGCCATCCCTAACGGTGGAAGCTTCTACATCCTAGGGCTTCATGTCTTGATCAGTAGAAATAGTGAGCAACTAAGGGAGTTTCAGGGTAGCGTGCTAGTAACGGGGAGTTTGTAGTAGGAAAGTAAAGGTTAAGGGTTAACATTAAAGTAAATTATATTATATTTTGAGTCATCATAATATATGTTACGTGTATTTTAAGGTATCATAATTTATTTTACATAATTTTTTTTTATAAATTATATTAATATTTTAATTACATTGATTGTTTTCTAAATTCTATTTGCTTAAATTGAAACTCATGGATATGTTTGTTTAAATTTTAAAAATTATTTGATAATGAATTTATAAATAATTATGTTTTGTAAGTACCACTACGAGAGTTACATCCCTTGGGGTACTTAAATAACCATTGTTTAGCCACTTTGTGGTCTTCTGTTTGTCATGGATTTATTGACTTCTGTTCTGATTATCAACACATGTTTTGTTCTGTACCGTGGTTATAATTAATTGCTTTTATGATTTTTGCATTCTGCTTCTGTTATTTAAAATTTATTATGTATTTCAGTTACCAAACTAATCTCTGTTTAGCCAAATAATCATTCATGGTAATTTTTGTACCTTCATGCTTTCTGTATAATATTTCTTACTCTGTCATGTGCTCATAACTGTTAACTACTTTCAGGTGACATGTCAGGACCAATGCATGGGATAGACATAAGGTACTTTGTAGTCATAGTACAACTCTGATATTGCAATTGAATAGAATCTCCAATGTATATGTTCTGTTATTATTAAATAAAGTTTTGGGTATCTTTTTTTTTTACTTCGTTGCTCTATTAATTTGTTAGGACTTTAGCGACGCCGAACGTTTGGATATCGAGTTTGGGCCGTGACAACCTTACCATTTATGCATAGGAGAAAAAAATAACAAACAACTATTGGATGGATTAGATAAACTCCTCTCTATATGTTTGGCTCTCCATACCCCTCTTGTGGGTCATAATTCTAA